CTAGATCCGGATCCAGATCCTCTCGTGAACACCATACTGAAATAAACCAAGATATACATCAGAAAGACCACAATTCATACTGCTATACCCATCATGACAAGACTAACCCTCGGAGTTTGTGACTTCCTCACTATGCGTACGGGTCCTATGCTTTTTAATAGTACGGGCCCATACTACCTTCCACACCTACCTGTATTTGTGTAAAGGATCATCACAAACACCCGAAATAAATACACAAGTAGGATACACATACATCCTATCCTCACTCTCTCTAGAGTGGCTAATCATTCCCTAACGGACCTACTATACCCACATACTCACTCATGAAACTTCCACCAACCCTGCAATCACTCGTGCATGCCAGTCATACATAATGCTGGATCCTATAGACATTTGAATACCCTACCCTAAGCCCTTCATCAGACAAGAACATAAAATAAGACTAATTCAAACATTCTCAGGCTATTGAATCTTAATTATGTACAACTATGATGCATACGCTAAGCAACTACAGTAATGATGTCAATTTCATGTAACAGACAGGAATTCCTCTTAGGTTATCAGGCATCATACATGAGGTAATTCTATTATGCAATACCTGAAGATCCCTAGCCTATCACTAGCATGCATTTCTATCATACTCATCAATAACAATAATAGTGTGGGTAATTTGGGGTATACTTTTCTTGCTCCCGTTGATCGTACACATCTCATCCTTCCTTGGTTACTTTTGAAAACAATTTTGAAAACCATTTCAATACTTTTCAGTTCCTTAGTTGGAGTATGGATTCACACGAATGTTCATCCAATTCTCTCAAACCAGGGCTTTGATACCAACTTGTAACATCCCAAAAATTAGAGTAAATTTTTTTCGAAAACAACCCAAAGACAATAATTATTTACAAAAACATTGTTTCAAATGTATAAGTCATAAATCAGAGAAATCCCAAAATCCAAGGACATAAAATCCGAAGGATGTGCACCATCACGCCTTTGTTTTGCCACGATCATCTGAAGTACCTGAAACAATAAACCAAAACTGTAAGGCAAAGCTTAATGAGTTCCCCTAAAGTACCACCACACAAACATATAACCAAACAGATATCAGATCCATAACCTCCTATTTGGATTACCCCTTGCCCACAAACTTTCGGTTGGAATGCCCCAACCCAAAACCTTTCAGTTGGATTTCCTAATACATAATGGGTTCACAACCTCCTGGTTGGATTACCCCTCGCCCACAACTTTCCGGTTGAAATGCCCCGGCCTACAACCTTTCAGTTGGAATGCCCCAGTCTTTTGACTAACAACACAAAGCAGTACAATCTCAACCCCACGATACCATGTCGACATATACATAACACATAACAGATATCTATCAATATATAATCATATAACCAGTCGTCAGACAAACATGCAGATCTAACAATTCACTACAACAAAGCAACATCCTAAATAATAGGATGTATAATCTAGTGGGCCGACATTGGTGTCTTTGACCTACAAGTACAATGAACAAATCGCCGCTCCGGATACTGACTCAACTGATCACCAATACGAAATCAGTGACCCAACTCAATTTACTACTCAAATTACCCATAATACCCCTGAGTCAAACTTGGTCAAATATGGTCAAATTCAAAATCAAATCCACACTCGAAAGTCCCACAACCACTCGCCATGTCGTGAACCTCTAGCGTCACTTCGTGACCCTCTAGCGGTCACTCCGAGGAGCACCATCCTCATATCGTGACACCCAAGTGCTCACGACGTGAGAATGCTCTGGATAAAAGTGCTTAATAGAACTCTCAACTCCTTTTTGGACAAGCAACCAAATCTTCCATAATGTCTTATTTACTCTAGAACATCATAAAAATCATGGCTTTTTGGACATGCATGTCTAATGCATGTCCTAAACACTAACTAGGGCACAAAAGGAGGAAATGATACCAAATCTCATGCAAGAGTCATAAAGCTCAACCATATTCCAGGTCTAGCATCTATACTACTCAAGGAACACCGGAGATCCATAAAGTTGGCAACTTTATGGATTCCAACCACTACATCATCTTGAATATGAAGATAAAGCATAAAAATCTAGATCTAAGCTTATGGACTCATAAAGCAATGAACTTGAAACTCACAAAAGGTCCAAAAGGTGTGAAAATGATTGATGATGAGGCTTGAATGCAGAAATAATGAATTATATGCCCTTCCTCTTCTTCTTCTGGGCTAGAAACACCACAAGTAAGCTCAAGATCAAATATGGATGCTAGGGTTTCAAATGGGAGTGCAAGGAAGTGATGAGGCTGAGGGTGGGCTAACCCTAGCCCTCACTTCATTTAAATATGGTATAAAATCCCTAAAATTAGGGTATTCCTCTCTGTCCGGACTCACGTCATGTGCCATATGTGCTCACGTCGTGAACCCAAAGGTGAAGCGTGTTTCCAATATTCCCCTCACGACGTGTCAAGCATGTTGGGCTATGAGCAAAACATCAATCCTATGGTGCACATGCAAACCCTAAAGCTTTGGATCTAGGTTTCTCTAGTTGCACATACAATAATCATCCAAAGCTCATAAACCCTAACTCTAGCATACAAAAATCGAAATCAACATAAATAAACAAGTAAGAATGTTACCTTTCAATTGTAGCTTGATAAACTTGAGCTGTTGAGAACCTAGCACCTCTAATGTGATGCATCTAATAGATCACAAACACCAAAGCAATTGGAGAATATTAGAGAGAGAGGAGGAGGAGTGCAAAAATCGGCTCTAGTAATCCTGAGGGTTAAGTGTAGCCGAAAATATGAAGCCAATGGGGTCTTTATATAGGTGAGCTGCTAGGGTTTCAGTCAAAACCCTAATTAGATTGCTTAGGCCTTAAGTAGTCTACAATCCTTCCAGAAGGCCCCTATGGACGATTTCTATGTGGGCTTCCCCATAGAATTCGCCCATCCCTTATTTAGGGTTCCTTAGCCCATATTGCAATTATCACATAATTACAATATTAGTCCCCTTAATTCAATTAACCTCTTTTGACCACAAAATCAATTCTAAATTAATTTTTGACCAACGTTAATTAAATAATATGATTTCTCTTTTAATATATTATTCATATAATATATTAATAAATAATAATAATCATCTTTCTCAATTATTCATCCAGTCAAGTTGCTTTGGTGAAGACAACCCAAAAGGATCATGCTACTATCGGGTCAAGTACATAACAAATATAGTTATGGGCTTAGACACCTAATCCAACAAAGCATCCCTCACGTCGTGAGCCGGGTTAACATTCCCAATTTAAACTAGATAAAATGCTCACATGAACTGAGTGCTACAGAACTAAAGACTACCGGTCATCGTTAGTGCTTCGACTTGATTCTTCTTCTACATTTCGTTTGGCTAAAAAAATCTAAGTTTAGGTAGTTTAAATTTAGGAAAACGGCAAAAATGGTCCCTATGGTTTGCATTTTTTCAGGAAATATGTCCAAACCTTTAAAAAAAATTGGATAGAGGGTCATTTTTAGTAGTTTGTTTGCGGTTTTGGTCATTGTCCAAACTAAAAAAAACTTTTTTACATTTTATATATATATATATATATATATATATATATATATATATATATATATGTGTGTGTGTAAGGTTGTGTTCAAATGAGAAATGAATTTATTATGAAAACTGTGGGAATGGACTATAATCACTCATTTCTATTTTTTTCGAAAATAAATAACCAAAAACCTGAAATAATTAAGTAAATGTCCACATTTAATTATGAATGATATATTAGTCATAATGTTAATCACGTTTTATGAAAACTACCATATTCAATAACCATATTATTATGAAAATAGTTTAATTTTTTTTAATTTTATTAGTTTTCTAAACAAAATTCAATATTTTTCAACATTTTGAACATGAAGAATACACAAGTTGAATATAAATTGAGAAGCTGATAAGTGAGTTGAATATACATATAAAATTCTCCCTATAAAAGAGAGAATTTCATATACGCCCTTCCTAAACAGCTAAATATCGTATTTACCCGACCTAAATTCTAAATATCGTATTTGCCCTTCTTAATGTTTTTTCATATCATATATACCCAAATCTATTTTTTGGTATTTTTTATTGATTTATAATTGTTTTTCATAATATTAAATCATCATAATTAAAATACATTATAAATGGACAACAATACCCTTCCTTCTAATTTCCAATTCACGATTCACAGATTAGCGATCATAGCGTTTTCCTTTTCCCCACAATTCACGATCAAGCCTGTCGATACCTCCAATCAGTGTCACGATCGAGTGTTCCAAACACTGTCGATCGTTGCATTCACATCCAATCAATCGTGCTTCCAGTCGGCGGACCCAGACCCTTTATCGCATACACACACGCATAGGTAATTAAAAACCAAATCCATTCCCGTTCCTCAACTTTGATTATGTTGTTGTTGTTTGATTTGTTCAAGAATTCCTAGACTTATTGCAGCTGCAGTAATCATGATTTTATGATTTTTTTTGTCAATTGAATATTTAATTTGGGATTACAGCTGATGAATATGTCACCTACACATCTAGAATCTGGAATTGCTGAAATCCCTGTATCAGTTTCATAATTCCTTTTCCATATAATTTGTCTAATTTGTCAATGATTCCATTATCATGAAGAAGAAAACTAATTGATGTCAAAACAGAAGAGACTAACTAGAAGATCATAGGCGAAAATTAAAAGTTCTTAGTTCACTGAAACCGATTGTACATGAAATCCAACATAACTAAGCTATCAAATACAACATAACAAAGCGGATTGTAAAAAGAATTTTAACAATTGAAACTAAACCCTAAAAACGAAATTAAAGAGATGGAAAATATGTATATGTTGAAGTCGCTAGTACCTGATTCGATGATGTGAGTGTGCGACAACGGGGGGAAGAAGGAATTGTGCTACGATCAGAAGGAAGCTAGATACGGAAGGAAGTTGCAACCTGCATGTGTGTATATGTGATAACAGGGGAAGCACCAACTGGAATCAGCGATCGATTGGATGCAAAGATCGGAAGCCTCAGGGAAGGGAAGGATCGTGACTTAAGAAGGTATGGGGGAAAACGATTTTTGGCAGAATCGATCCATAAAGCTGTGAATCGTGTGTTGTATTGGAGATTAGGAGGAAGGGTATTATTGTCCATTCATAATGTATTTTATTTATAATGATTTAATATTATGAAAAACAATTATAAATCAATAAAAATACCAAAAAATAGATTTGGGTATATATGATATTCAAAAACATTAGAAAGGGCAAATACGATATTTAGAGTTTAGTCCGGACAAATACGATATTTAGCTGTTTAGGAAGGGCGTATACGAAATTCTCCCTATAAAATACACAAGTTATATATATATATATATATATATATAATATATATATATATATATATATATATATATATATTCAACACTAAATACACAAGTTGAATATACCTAGAGACTACACAAGTTGGATACATTCAACACGTATTCAAGCGAAATTACTTAATTATGTAGATTTAATAATTTTATAGAATTTGGTAACCGTCCATAATTATGGAGATCTCGTAATCATGATGAAATTAATGATTTTGTTACTAGGACGAATATACCTTTCTCCATTAATTATGGATGGTTACTAAATTATTTTAACTAGTTAATTAATTAAATTCGAAAAATACAAATGATTGAGTATAATCTATTCTCACTTTTTTGGTTATTTGCTTCACTAAAGGTCACTAATCGAATTTCAGCAATGTTTTACTCACATGTTAACTAAAATTCATCGCACTACGTCGCCAACACTAGTAAACAACGTCACCGTTGCAAATTATTTTCACACATTTTGTCACTGTTTTACATAAAAAAAATGACAAATACTAGCCGATAGTCACTGTAGTTCATAGTGACTGTAAGTATTTTATTACGACATTTTAAAAAACATGTGAGTATAAGTGTTTTATGATAACAGTTTAGTTTCATATGTATGTTTAAAACTAATGATTTTGAATATATAAGCATAATACCATGTGATTGTAAGTATTTTATTATGAAATTAAAAAAAACGTGTAACTAAAAGTATTTTATAGTCACGTTTTAATTTTTATGTGTATCTAAAGGTAAAAGTTAGTATCAATAAAAGAAAAAAAAAGCATGTGACTATTAGTGTTACAGTGTTAAAAGTGAAGCCAATATTTAGAGGGAATTCAATTTTTTTGGTCTCTAAAAAATTTCAATTTCTTTCTTTACTAAAATTTCAACATATTTTCCCTCTTTACCAAAAATCAGTGTTGCAGAAATCGGTCTAATCGGCCGATTAATCGCTAATCGGACCTCCACGATGAGATTTATTGCTAATCGGTCACTATAATCGGGTTTGGTCAATACAGGTCACAGTCGGAATTAATCGGACCTAATCGGACTTAATTGGACCTAATCAGGTTTGGTCAACGCAGGTCAAAGTCGGACCTAATCGGCCATAATCGGACCTAATCGCCGATTAATCGCTTTTTTGTAGGATTAAAATTAGATTTATAAATTTTTGAATAATTTTCTTAATAATTAATGGTCCCCGATTAATCTCCCGATTAATCCCCGCCTAGCCGATTAATCCCTAATCGCTAGTCCACCGATTAGCGGCCGATTAGCGATTTCTGCAACCATGCCAAAAATGTTAAAATTTCAACATATTTTCTCTCTTTACCAAAAATAGTATTTCCCTTCTTTTTCTAAAAATATATATATATATATAGCCCTACTCCTTCTCTATCTTTCTCTCTGTTGCAGTCGTCGTCTCCAAAACATAAACCTTAGACCGCCCCTTTTTCACATACACGGTTCATCCAGCACTGCCACCTACCAGAACTTCTACACACTTGACGCTAACGCCAATGCCACTTTCTTACCCTGAACCTACCATCAATTCTGAATTATGTTACCTACTTGCATCGTCGCACCTTCAAAACAATAATAGGAGTCTATTAGTGTTAATGTTTACGCCTCCATCCATGTTCGGAAGACCATTGTTACTCTTATGATTGTATTGATGGTTACTAAATCGATTGATTACACCCCACCATCTTCTCCACTCGCTCTTGAGTTAGGTTACATCCACCAGATAAGGATCTTGTACGGTACTATCTCAATCCATTCTTGCCTTTTCAATAGTTAATTCTAATTTACGATTATATACTAGATTAGGCAACTAACACTTACAATTTTGTGTGTTTTTTACTCTACATCTTTTCATCTTCTCGAGTTCCTGGTTGTTACACGAAGTCTAATCTCGCCAGCTCTTGCAGAGTCTTTGACAATAGCATTCCCAGCTTCTCGTACTCACGAGGTAGGTGTTCAGCTCGGTCATCTTTTTTATTAGTTTATTTGGGTGTGTAGATAAGGTGATCGATCTATTGCTTATATGTAGGAAATGAGTTGATTGAAATAAATGGGGAAAGGGTTAAAGGGATTAGTGGTGAATCTGTTGCACAAAAGCTTAGAGGTCATTTGGGGACAAGTGTTACAGTTAAAGTGCACAATGTAAGTTTCTTTCTTTATGTTATTTTCAGGTTTCAGATGATGGAATCAAAGAATGAATGGAATGGTTTATTCCTTTCCAAAGGCTTTTTAGAAATTTATGCATGTTCACATTTCTGATGTTTGTAGAGTGATCTACCGGGCAAAAAGTTGGCCATTGACTCTAGTTTTAGAGAGGTCAAACTACCCTACAAATTCATTAGACTTTCTCCTATATCAAGTGTCATTATCCCTCGTAGAACACCAAATGTTCATGTATCCAAAACCGGATATGTAAATTTATTAGCCTTCTCCCAGGTCCTTAATTCTCCAAATCTTAGTGTTACTTTATAACTTCATATCTTAAAATGACTTAACAACAACTCTTGTAAATAGACTGCTTCTACAGATATGAAACATGTTATTCCTGAATTGGAAAATCAAGGTGTCAAATCTCACATTTTGGACCTTCGAAACAATCCCAGTAAGTAATGTTGACGGTTAAAGAAAATCTCTAGTAAACTTTTGTTTGACTCGACGATTTAGTATTTACATGTGTTATAGGGTGGTTTGGTGAAGATTGGACTTGATGTTGCTCAAATATGGGTGGATGGAGATGCGACTCTAGTAAACACAATAGATTGAGATGGGAATCAATTGTGAGTATTGAGAAAGGATTTGTAAGTGGTTCCACTTTGTCTCTTTTGTGTAGCGGTCTTTATTTCATGCTTATTATTTAGAAAAAATCTAATCTTTTGCTACTAGGACCGAAATATAGGCAATATGGCTTATAATAGTATCCCCTTTCTTTGTATTTTTATGAGGTTTTATGATAGATCAACAAGAGGGATAAACTACAACTGGTATATGAGTTAAAAAAAACTTAAGATCTCTATTTTATTAAAATTTCAAAAGAACCTATATAGTAACATCCCAAAAATCATAGGGTAAAAATTTCATTTTTAATATAAAGTTCAAACATTCCTTCATCCTTATCCAAACAAATAAAAGTATTCCAGAGTAAAACAATTATCAGAGTAAATCCCAAAATCATGAATTACGGAAAAACACGGGTGTATGCGCTACGATCAAGCCGGACCATTCCCTTTCGAACCGGAAGTACCCGAAACCATAAAGCACAACTATAAGCACAAAGCTTAGTGAGTTCCCCAAATACCACATACTAAACATATCAAACAATCCATACATGTCATACATATCCAATAAATCAATAAAAGTGTTATGTGCTAACCATAGTCTTGTCATTATGCCACGAGCCGCCTCGTGGTCATCCTTGCCAGGTTGGGGGCCAAAACCCTGGGTCTTACAGAAAAGTGTCAGGAGCTACCTCCTAGTCTTCCATGCAAGCATCACAAAGACAACTAGCATACAATCTACAACTACTTAACTAATAACTGCCAGAGTTCAGACTCTGGTCTAGCATACAGTTTGCCAGGAGCCGCCTCCTGGTCTTACCTACAAATGCCAAGGGCTACCCCCAGGTCTTCCTACAATACATAAACCAAATGGGCCGGCATTGGTGCCTTCGACCCATAGAACAGTGGGGAGATTCACCTCGACAGATGAACCCACGAATAGATCTCTGACTGCTGATCCACTAGAATCCCCGCGCTATCAAACAAATAACACCCAATTAACAATCGGGTTCCAAACCAAACCCAATAATCCTTACATGGGGTAAACATACCATTTTACCCCGCACCTAGTTTGGTCCAAGACTAAGGCCCAAACTCACAATCATAAATGCCCTCAAACCAATAATCATCCAAAGCCCAATTTTCCAAATTGGGCACAAACCCTTACATGGACCTTACCCTAAAGCCCATTAACCTTTCCAAATCCAAAGCACATATTCTCAGTTGGTCCAACAAAACCCAAAGCAATACAAGCCCACACGATAGCCCAAACCCGCAATGACACCACAAGGCCCAATAAGGCCCAAATCCACAATATCCAATGGTCAACCCTGGTCAACTAAAATGTCAAAGTCAAGGTCAACAGTCCATGTTGACCCATCATGCTGTGTTACCTCTTGGACACGTCGTGTTCTTCCAACATCCAGATAATCGGGAAATCCCTAGCCAACATGCCGTGTTCTGTCGGGATTCAACAGCTTAACCAATAAGCACTTAATCCTTACAGACATAGCCCCAAAACATAGATCTGACCTCTTGGAGCTGGGTTACCACATAAAGTTGCCAACTTTACGTCCATATATGACTAAATGAATCTCTCAAACTTAAAAGGGACTTAATAGAGGACTTGAAGCATGCATGACACCATTCTTCACATAAAGCTTGCACATTTATGCTCAAGGATACCAAAACAACCCAGATCTGAATGAACAAGCCCTTAAACAACCCCACTCATCAATAGATCCCAAAAGGAGACCCAAAATCAAAATAAAACCCCATAAGTGAAGATCTAATCAACAACAAAGCAAGGTATGAACTTGATACCTCAATGAGACTTCAACAAGTGGTGAGATTTTGGATCTATGGCCTTCCTTCCAAGCTAGGCACCTTCAAACTCCAAATCTCCTTCAAATGAGCACAAAATCCACAAGAATCCACTCAAAACTTCAAGAACACCACCAAGAAATCTCAATACTCGATTTAGGGTTCTAGGTAACAAAAGAGGCTGGTAAGGAGGCCGGTCAAGGGAACTTAAGGTCTTTAAATAGGGTGTAACACCCTAAAAATTAGGGTTTCCTTCCCAGGTGCCAACACGTCGTGTTGAGGCACCTGAACACGCCATGTTGGTTCATTAAACTCCGCAGCCAAAAACATCTTGACACACGGTGTTGAGGCTCCAACACGCCGTGTCCCGAAGAGAAAACACAAACAACTTGGAATCAACTCCAGACCGGATATCAAGCGTTACAATTCTCCCCCACTTAAATTAGATTTCTTCCTCAAAATCATTCCTTACCATTCCCAAGCACGCCAGACATCATGAACAACACAACCACAATTCCGATCAAACAACGGCCTTCCCA